TGAACTACAGTTTTAAAAAACATAATTAAATAAAATCGATGTCTTTGAGAATTTTCAGAGAAAAAGGGCTGAAAAATAACAGAGAGAAACATATATTGTATATAAATTTAACAAAAAGTCATGTATGTACCAGATAGCGCTTCATGTACTGATTTATCCATAAGTTGAACAAACGCAACCGAAGTAATCGTTGCATTAAGACATGACAATCATGACTTTTCATTCCTGTTAGTTTTCCTCCAGATAGATCAACACACTTGGACAGACTTGATGCATATCCATCAGAAAACTTAACATCTTTTTCGAGCCATCTTAGAAAATTGGCTTTTGCATCAGCTTGGAGTCTGAATATTGGGACTGGCGCCTTTCCGTCAACTGCTAAGTGTAGCTCTTTACGATTACAATACTCTTGCAAATCAAGCCTTGATCTGATATTATCTTTTGTTTTCCCTTGCACATTTAGTAGTGTGTTGATAATATTATCAAAAAAGTTTTTTATAATATGCATCATATCAAGATTGTGTCGAAGTTTATGATCCTTTCAATAAGGTATCTCCCAAAAAATACTTTGCTTATGCCAGTTGTGAATGTTGCCATATCCTTTTAATCGCCCATGATTTCCTCCGCAATCAATAGTTTTTGGAAAATATTTCACTCTATTCCATATTTGTTCACCTGTTTGCAAATGTGGTGGCCTATCACTGATAATCCTTCCTCTTTTAAAATTCTTCATGTTTCATCGATAGGTATGATTTTCCGGTAGAAATCAACGATGACAATCAAACCAACTTGTTTTTCTACCATTCTTCAACTGAAACGCATCAGTTGTATCCAAACAATAAGGACATGCCAATCGACCATGAGTTGTCCACTCAGAAAGCATAGCATAAGCAGGAAAGTCACTTATTGTCCACATAAGTGCAGCTCGTAAGAGAAAATTCTGCTTCAACGCCATTAGCCCACAAATCTTTTAACTCGTCTACCAGAGGTTGAAGAAAGACATCCAGACTTCTCTTAGGATGATGTGGACCAGGAACTAAAACCGTTAGAAACATAAATTCTTGCTTCATGCACATCTCGGGTGGCATATTATATGGAGTCAAAATTATGGGCCATAACGAATAGTTATGTCCTGACATACCAAATGGATTAAAATCGTCTGTGCATAATCCAAGATAAACATTTCTTGACTCAGATGCAAAATCAGGGAATACCTTGTGAAAATGTTTCCATGCTTCTCCATCTGATGGATGAGACATTTCTCCGCCACTTGTAGAATGTTCTGCATCCCATCTCATATCTTTTGCAGTATTATCAGACTGATATAATCTCTTCAATCTGCCAGCCACTGATAAATAAAACATCTGGCGATATGCAACTTTTTTCTGTCCAGAATTTAGAGTAGAACGAAATCTATCTTTCTTACAGAAAAGACACTTCTCGTCGTTTGTTGTATGTTTCCAAAATATCATGCAATTATCTTGACAAACATCAATTTTTTGGTAAGGTAAACCCAAAAATTTCATAAATTTCTTTATATCATAATATGATTCCAGTGAATTGTTACCTTCTGGCAAATATCCGTGTATCAACTGAGCAATCGAGTCCATACAGTTTTGAGGCAAATTATACTATGTGTTTAAACTCATCAGTCGAGCTGCTAAAGAGAATTGTGAAAGTCCTTCTTTACAACCATCATAAATTGGATGTATTGCAGCATTCAACATATCATAAAACTTCTTTGCTTCAGCGTTAGGCTCTTCTTCCATGTTCTGATCAAATATTGATTATGTATTGCCGAAAGCATCTGAAACCATTGCCACATACGGATTCAATAGTTCCTCTTGAGAGCTAGCCCCAAAAGCATCTTCGTTAAAATCTATATTACAAGGATTCTCTATGATATTATAATCTTCTCCATGAGAAATCCAAACCCAGTAGTTAAGTGTAAAACCCCTATTATATAGATGTGTCCATACGATCTCCTCTTGAAGTAATCTTTCATTCTCACACTTAAAACATGGACAAAAGAGTTTGCCATTCTCGATAAATAGAGGCTGTTTTTTGCAAATCTCATAAAATTCTCCAATCCTTGGCAAAATTCTTCTGAAACTTGATTAGTAGTATCATCAATTCTTTCATACATCCAACGCCTTGTAACTTTAATATCATTAGTGGACGAAGGCATTGATCTAAAGTATCAAAGCTCGCTGGTTTTTTTTTCTGTTATTCTCAGAAGATCGTATGTATATATATGATGGGTTTATATTCTTATTGATAATGCAAAAAGGAAATAACTATTATATTTCTTAGTTTAACTAGATAGTTTAGATTATTTTCCTTATTAGATCAGGAATACATCTTGTTATTTTATTTTTTTTTGTCAACTATTCAATTGATTAATTCGGTGATTTGTTTAAAACCCATCGGAGGGAATGTCTAAAATTAAAAAATTTTCTAAAGCCATACGGTTTACTAAAATTAAGAAATATCCTAAAGCCATACGGTTTACTAAAATTAAGATATGTACTAAAGCCATACGGTTTACTAAAATTAAGAAATTTCGTAAAGCCATCAAATTGTTAAAAATCATCTGCTGTGATTTTGAATTTTCTCAAGGGGATGTCTTGCAGCAGAGGAAATTGTGGTTGTGGATCTGGCTGCAAGTGGGGCAATAGATGCGGAGGTTGCAAAATGTACCCAGACTTGGGCGTTTCAGGCGAGACGGCCACAACTGAGACTTTTGTCTTCGGCGTTGCACCGGGGATTAAGAACCAGTTCGACGCCTCTGGCGAGAGCAGCGATGAGAACGATGCTTGCAGGTGTGGATCCGACTGCAAGTGTGACCTTGATTTCATGATATCTGTATCTGTATATTTCCAAGTTCTAGAAATAGTTGTGATCCTTGATTTCATGATTGTGGTTTACTATCTAGTAACTGGCTTGTCTTCTTTGATAAAAATGATCTACTGAGTTTTGATCAGATGCTTTGAGTCAGAGCAAGAAGATATTAGCTGATTGTAATCACGTTAGAATTATAAAAGGAACTATTTGAAATACGTTTCTTTTGCAACATACATGCACTGTTTTTGGGTGGTTTCTTGAATCCCTTTGTCTTCACCTACAAGCTCTCGTCATCAATAGCTTGACCATTGCTTTACTCTGGCTTACACATTTGTATGATCTTTCAGTTTTTAATGAGAGAGATGATCCGAGTTTTTGCAGAAGTTGCAGGTTTGATGTCATTAGAACTGCAGGTTTTCATAAAAAGTTGCAGGTTTTGAAATTTTGTTTTTTTTGCTTCTTCTACCAGAACACAACTTTAAATTACTTTTCTAGCTGAAATAAAACCCCTTCTTAGGTTTGATATAATCTGTGTAGACATAATATATCATAACACAAAGCAGCCTATCAACCATTAATCACGCCCCTTCTTCCATTTGCTCTGTAACTCTCTTCATACCTTGAAGTATGGAAATAGAAAGGAGTCGCTGACATTATCTGAAGTTGTCACATCTGCTCATGCCAATTGTAAGTGGAGCTGCAAGAAGCAAGACTCCTAAACAAGTCCAAAGTGAGGAAGAAGGCCGGTTGTGTATTAATAGGGGAAGAACTGAGAAAATGAACGATAATCATGAAAAAAGCAGTTGTAAAAGCAAGAAAAATCAATCAAAAGTCAAAGTAGAACGGTCAGTCGAAGGGAAGAGAATGCTAAATATGCGGAAAGAAATAATATTACAAGACAGACTGTACTGAGAAATAGAATAACTACAAATCAAATACAGCAAATGGACACATGCATGTTAAAAAAAATCTATGATTCTAACTGCTAGTCTTCAAGATACTAAAGATAAATGCGTAATGGATTTCGGATGTACGGTAAGGTAAAGGACGCACTGTTTGATTTTTAGAAAGTCGAAGGTGGAAAAGTTAAAAGGATCGATAAGTTGAAATTTGTGAAACTAGATGAGTCGGTTGGGTCTTGACTCAATGACAGATGTGGGGTGCATATGACATCAATGGTCAGGAATTTGATCTCGACAGTTAGAGAAGAATTTGGGTCTTAAATTTCGGTTTGTCAAGTATTTTTAATTTAAAATCAATTCGTAATCCATATCCTTTATACATTACTTAAGTCTCATCTATATTGTCGATATGGACTACTTTTTATAGTTACTTCAGGATGATACGAGTCCAACCGCAACTGTTGTAAATTACCGATCAAAGCCATTTAAAGCTATGTGTGTGCTCCATGAAACCTAAGTTAGAGAGGTTATTATGGCCAAAAGAACAAAGCACCGGAGAAAAAAGCACGTGCTACCATAGTAAATACAGCGTCACAAACACGAGGCCGGAGAATCTTTGCTTCTACTCTGAGAAGGAATTACATAACTTGCTCGGTGTAAACAAGTGTACGTGTGTTTGAAGCTTTATCTAAGTTGACGTGGCAACTTTTCACTGGTCCTACTGATTCTTTATCGTAAAAGCACTTAAAAATTAGGAAAAATAAAATAATACTATAATTTTGAACATATAAGAAACCAAAATTAGGATTGTGTCCGTTCTTAACGAGTTAAAATTTTGAACATATAATAAAATTACAGAGATTATTTTCCCAGGAAATTCATATATGTTTTCTGAATATTTTAGTAGAAACAACAACTTTATCCAACAACTCAAAGAAAATTTTAAAATGATAAAAGGAATAGAACAATAACAACAACCAGTCCAAATCTTAATCTCAAGTTTCTGTTCTATGTAAACCAAATGTACGGAAGTCATCCATCCAATCAGAAACAGTCACGTCAGCATTTTCCCGAGGAAAACAGACCATGTGAGTCACACGTGCTGCTTGTCCTTCCTTCTCTGTCATTACCTTAAACGCGGATTTGCTGCGTTTGCGTCATTTACGACTGAGTCGCTCTTTTTGGGCTTCTTCCTTTATTTGGTTTTTGCTTTTTCTTGGAGGGTTTCTCTCTTAATTGCTGTCTTTGATACCTTTTCAATATTCTCGTACGTTTCCTATACCTTATTTAGAAGACATACGCATCTACATACATATATATATAAAACCAACTAAATTTATTCATTCCATTTTATCAACAAAAAAAAGAGGACAAAAACCCAAAAAATAAAAAGAAGAGGAATAAATTCTGAAATCAATGGCGAAGAAGGTGAGGAAGCTTCACGTGAAGGTGAAGCCGGTGAGGCTTGATGGTTTACCGGCTATTCCCGGCGACGAAACGGCGGCGAAGAACCTTTCCGCGATGGTGGAGTTGAAATGGAAAGGACCCGTATCCGGTTTCGGATTGGCGTACGTCCCATTTTACCGGTCAAACCGACCGGTTAACCATACGAGCTCTGAACCGATTGCTTCAGGCAATAGCTATGTGGAATGGGAAGAGGAGTTCGAACGCGTTTGTTGCATTGTTGGCCCATGGAACCTTTCGTTCAAAGTCTTCTACGTGAGTTTTCTTAATTATCTTTTTTTGGAAAATCAATTTACTGTTTTAATTCATTTTTCAATACCGGATTAGGGAGAGACGATAGACGAAAAAAGCAAAAAAGCTGTGATCGGAAAAGCCTCGTTGGATTTATCAGAATTAGCGTCGAAGCATGAATCGACGGTGGAGAGAAAGCTTCCGATTAGGTCAAAGGGTTTACTTTTGAAGGAAGCAACTCTTGTGGTAAGCTGGTCAATTAAAATTTTGAATTTGAATTATTCTTTGTTCTCATTGGATATTATATTGTTAATCTCGGAAACAGCATGGATACATTTAAAGACTCTTCTTTTAATCCAATGGAAAGAGTAATCTAATCCTAATCCTTAATTAATTAAGACACGCGGTTGTTTATTTTAAATCAGGTCATCGTGACTTTTTCCGAGGTAAGAACCGAGCCATACGACTTTGCACAACTCGGTCAGATCTCGGTTGACTCAGCGATCCCGATGAAGATGTCGAGTCGTCGCGGCGGCAGCGATTTTGATTCGTCTTCCTCTCCGGCCACCGCGTCGAGCTCAGGAAGACGCAGCCCGATTGTCGCAACCGGGTCATCATCAAGCCCGGAGAACCAATCTGAACCGGGTCAAAAAGCGGGTTTTAATTGGTGGAAGAGACGACGGTTAAGCTTCTCTATGACCTGGAGAAGAGAACCGGTAAGCATTTGTTTTTCTTTTTTCAAAACCCGGTTTGATTTTGATCCTTCGAACAGAACCGGTTTTTTTTTTTATGCAGAGAGAGGATGAAGCTATAACGAAGGTATCATCAAAACCGGAGACTGAACCAGAAAAACCGGCGACGCCGGAGGACTTATCGATCGAGGCGAATAAATGGGTGGTGAAGGATTTAGCAAGCCGCGATGGGAAATCGAAGCTGAGATCGGAAGTTTACACGGCGTCGATTGATCAGAGAAGCGAACAAGCCGGCGGAGAAGCAGCTTGCGCGGCGGTTGCGGTGGTGGTGGCTCATTGGTTCCAAGCGAATCCGATGCTAATCAATCCACCAGGAACAGAGTTCGATTCGCTAATCACGCAAGGCTCTTCCTTATGGCAATCCCTCTGCGACGAAGAATCGTATCTGAGATTGTTCCCGAACAGACATTTCGATCTGGAAACGATCATCTCCGCCAATTTACGGCCGATTAGGTCTTGCACTGATAAATCGTTTACAGGGCTTTTCAGCCCGGAGAGATTCGCATCGTTGGAGGGTTTAATGTCGTTTGATCAGATCTGGGATGAAGTTGAGAAAGAAGTAGCGATAGCTTCTGGGGAATCTAGGGTTTATATCGTTAGCTGGAACGATCATTTCTTCGTGGTGAAAGCAGATTCAGATGGGTTTTGTGTGATTGATTCGTTAGGTGAGAGATTGTTGGAAGGTTGCAAGCAAGCGTACATTCTCAAGTTTGATGATTCGAGTTTGATGTATGAGAAGGAGGGATCGTCGGAGAAATTGGTTTGTAAAGGTAAAGAGTGTTGCAGAGAGTATGCAAAGAGGTTTCTTGCGGCGATTCCGGTGGCGGAGCTGGCGGCTAAGGAGGAGAAAGGGGATGTAGTTGATGTGTCTCTTCTTCATGAGAAACTTCAGATTGATTTGCATCATATTATGTTGTTGACTGGTGATTAGAGATATATATATATATTTTTTTCTGACTAGTTTGGTTTAGTGTAGATTTTGGTAGGACGGTGAGATTAGAGAGAGTTATTTTGTGCATATGGTTCGTTCGTTATTTCTTCATCTGAGACAATGTGTTAGGAAAAATCTAATAAAAAGTTTATGTTTGTCTTTGCTTGTGTACTAAAATCCAAACGAGGTATCTTTAGATCTTTTTGTCATGTTTCGAGCTATAAAAGGAAGAAGAGAGCAAGGCTTTTGGTAGGAGAAGATATAAATAGAAATGTTAGAATAAAACTACGTTAAGATAAACCACAAGTTGTTTTTGTTGACGGTAATAGATAGTTAAAATTTAGAATAGATAAATGTCCTTAGATACACCAAATTTAAGTTTTTGTTAGTAATATACACTAACACTATAAAAAGTTATTTCCATAACATTTTTCACTAAAGACTTGACCATATTAACCTTAGTTATACAAAATATTAGTTAATAAAAAAAGAAGAAAAATAGTGCATAAACAAATGTATCAATTGCCAAGACTGATCTGAAATTTGAATCATTTGATTGTGATTTGTGATTGTAAATCTTTTAGATCTTTGAAGTTTTTTTGATAGAAAAGTGTTTTCGGGATTTAGAACTCAAAATCATATAGTGGAAAAAAGATCTGATATAATTGAGTGAAAAACTCAAGAAATCTGAGCTAAAACAACAACAATGGTGAAAAAAAAAAAATCAGCAGAAATTAGGGTTTGATTATCGCAGAGGTGAGGAAGGAGATGAAAGTAAATTTAAGAAGATATTCTAAACTTTTAAGAAGACTTTTCTAAAATATATAAATTAAGGAAATCATTATATGTAATTAGGAAAGCCTTAGTAAATCGTATAATTGATTTTTTTTTTATTTATACCACAATTCAAATTCAGGAAGCCCTTCCACGATTTAATAAGCTCTTCCACAATTCATGAAGCTTATCCACAATTCAGGAAGCCCATCCACAATTCAGGAATTTTTTAAAAATTTAGGAAAATTTTCCTAAATCATATGAAACGATGTTGAATTTTAATATTTGGAAGACCTTCCTAAAACATCATGAAATATTGACAAAACGGCAAAATCGGAAAGATCAAATGGAAAATGTTAGAGGGTGTAAAATTTTTTAGCTTCCCTCTTATATTTGTCCAAAAAACTTATTTTCAGTGTAAATAGAGAAATTTCTCTTTAGAATAAAACAAAGCTAATACAAAACTATAAACTAAGTAATACTAAAAGAAAATGTTTTTACTGAAAATAATTGGTTGATCAAATAATTAGGTAGGCGTATGTAAATTTTAAAAATTAGGTAGATATGAAAGACAAACATTTTTTAAATCCAAAATCTTCTTCTTATTAACTTAATTACAAAAATGTCATTCATCCCGAGAACTGTATTGGCGACATGATTCCTGACAACACTGTTCACTTATTAACCTGATAACACTATTTACATTTCGATAAGATTGTTAATCCATGTCTGGAAACATTGTTTATACAAGTTAACACTGTTTTTATATGATTAAAATGTTAAACACGTTACGAAATTATAAAATATACATACTAAACTAGTTTTATATTATACATGTTAACTCATATATGAATATAAAATATATGTTAATACAATTATTTATATAAAACTATCATGTTAATCATATTATCCAAAAAGTACTATCATGTTAATCAGGTTACATATCATATAGTTAACTAATTTGTCAAATGTGAAATATGTGTTAACTAATTATTGATATACTTGTATCAATTATGTTATGTAAGAAAAATAAATGTGCTAATATAATTATTGTATTAAAAAAATATTTATTGTTGTCATTAACTATGTTATTATTAAACTGATGCTATCGTAGTTATAGTTAAAATTAGAGAAGGAATGAAAGAAAAATGGTATTTATCTATTCTAATAAAGTATGATTTATTTTCAGAATTAGATTTGATATGTTACCATGTGGCATTTAAGAAAATGATATATGTCACTTTAAAAAAATATATATTTCTATTGAATTATCTTTCATCAAACAAACACAAAACAAAGCTTCTATTTTTTTTTTCTTTCTCCTAACAATTTTCTTTCATTCAACATACATCAATAAAAATCAAATCACTCAAACAAATCTTATAATATAGTAAGGTTATGTCTCACTTTTTAATATAAAATATTTATTTATTCTAATATAGTAATTTTTTTTTCAAAAACAGTTTTGATATGTTGTCACATGGCATCTAAGAAGCTGACATTTTTCACTTAAAAAAAAAACTATTTTACTGAATTATCTTTCATTAACAAACACAAAAACAAAACTTCAGGTTTTTTCCTTTCTCCAAACAATTTTCTTTCATCCAACAAATAGAAAGGAAAATAAAATTATTTAAACCAAATCTTATATAATATAGTAAGAGCACATGTCACTTTTTATCATCTTTTTCTACCTAAACTATATTCTATTTTATCAAACAAATACAAAAACAATGCTTCAATGTTTTTTCTTCTTCTGAACACGATTCTCTTTTATTATAACTCTTACTTTACATTATTTAAAAATATTTTTTAACTTTTAAGAGCTGACTGTGACATTGTTTTTGCGCAAAAATAGATTCATTTCTTTTTGCTTTCTTTGTAGCTAATCGAAAAGAATATCATCTATTGTTTGCTTTCATAGATCAAAGCTCATTCTATCTTATAAACTAAAGTAAGTTTTTTTTTTCTCATAATCAACTCTGATATGCTTTCACATCTCGTCTTATAAACTGACATGTATCACTTTCTCAATTTTTATTATCTCAACTGAATTCTCTTTTATGAAACAAACACAAAAACAAAGCTTCAACGTTTTTTCTCTTCTACAAATAATTATTTTTCATCCAACAAACAGAAACGAAAATAAAATCACTCAAACAAATCTTATATAATATAACAAAATCATGTGTCATTTTTTTATCTTTTTTTTTCTTCTCAACACTATTCTCTTTTATTGTGTCCTTACTTCACATTATTTAAAAATATTTTTTTTAACTTTTAAGAGTTGATTGTGATATTGTTTTTTTTTGAAGCCAACCAGATAAAAAGTCATGCATTATTTGCTATTCTGAAAAAAATATTTTTTTTTCTCTTCTACAAATGATATGTTTTTATCTAGCAAACATAAACGAAAATCAAATCACTCAATCAATCTAATATAGTATAGTAAGATTATATGTCACGTTTTCTCTTTTATTTTTTCTTCTCAACACTATTCTGTTTCATTATGTCTTTTACTTTATATTATTTAACAAAAACTTTAAAATTTTTAAGAACTGACTGTGATATTATTTTATCGCAAAAAAAAATCGATTGACTTCTTTATGTTTGATAAAGTCATGCATTATTTTCTTTTGTGAAAAAATCCAATAAATTAAGTTGTTTTTTAGAAACTGTTAAAATATGCTGCTATCTAGCATTTAAAAAACTGACATTTGTCACTAAAATAATATTTCTATCGAATCCTCTTTCATCAAACAAACACAAAAACAAAAGTTTAGTTTTTTTTTTCCTTTTTCCAAACGATTCTCTCTCATCCAACAAAAAAAACAAAAATTAAATCACTCAAACAAATCTTATATAATATAGTAAGATTATGTGTCATTGTTATCATCTTTTTCTATCTAAACTCTATTCTCTTTTATCGAACAAATCCAAAAACAACACTTCAATTTTTTTTCTTCATCTGAACATGATTTTCTTTTATTATAACTCCTACTTCACATTATTTAAAAAAAAATTCTAACTTTTAAGAGCTGACTATGACATTGTTTTTGCGCAAAAAGTGGATTCATTTCTTTTTGTTTTCTTTGTGGCCAATAAAAAAGAATATCATGCATTGTTTGCTTTCATAGATCAAACCTCATTCTCTCTTATAAAATATAGTAAGGTTTTTTCTCATAAACAACTCTGATATGCTGTCACTTCTCATCTTATAAACTGCATATATCACTTTCTCTTTTTTTTTTTGATTATCTCTATTGAATTGTCTTTTATTAAACAAACACAAAAACAAAGTTTTAATTTTCCTTTTTCTTCTACAAACAATTATTTTTCATCCAACAAACAGAAGCGAAAATAAAATCACTCAAAAAAATCTTATATAATATAATAAGATCATGTGTCAGTTTTTATCTTTTTTTTTTCTTCTTAAAACTATTCTCGTTCATTATGTCTCTTACTTCACATTATTTAAGAAGATTATTTTTAACTTTTATAAACTGACTCTGATATTGTTTCATCGCAGGAAAATAGATTCATTTCTTTATGTTTTATTTGAGGTCAACCATATATAAAATCATGCATTATTTGCTATAGTAAAAAAAAATCAATTTTTTTCTCTTCTATAAACGATTATTTTTATCTAACAAACGGAAACGAATATCAAATCATTCAACAAATCTTATATAATATAGTAGGATCGTGTGTCACTTTTTCTCATTTTTCTTCTTTTCAACACTATTATGTTTCATTATATCTCTTACTTTATATTATTTAAAAAGATTTAAAACTTTTAAGAGCTGACTGTGACATTGTTTTGTCACAAAAGAAAAATATATTCACTTCTTTATGTTTTTTCTGTGACCAATCGAACATATCATGCATTATTTGCTTTTGTGAAAAAATAAATCTAAGAAAGTAATTTTTTTTCAGAAGCAGTTCTGATATGCTGCCACATGGCATCTAAGAAACTTACATTTGTCACTTAAAAAAAAGCTATTTCTATTGAATTCTCTTTCATCAAACAAACACAAAAATAAAACTTCAGTTTTCTTCCTTTCTCCAAACGATTATCTTTCATCCAACAAACAGAAACGAAAATCAAATCACTCAAACAAATCTTATAATATAGTAAAATCATGTGTCACTTTTTTTTGCATCTGTCATATGTTCATCACTTTCCCTACTCCATCGAACCTCAAACCGCCACCACTCACCATTATCATAATTTGGATTTTACTCTCTAGGACATTCTTTCCAATCATCTCTGCGTGCTTTCTCGGAACAATGACAGCTTTAATTCCCTAACAAGACCAAACCTTATTCTCTGTAGGTATTATTATTTCACCAACTCTTTAATACAAAATATTATAAAATATAGTACTGTTTATTTTCATAAGCAG